ACGATTTTAGATAATTCTAAAAAACATTTCTCAACACAAAGCGAGTTAGAGAAAAAAAACGAAGAAATATGAAAGAAAAGTGGCATCACAAGGGCTATAGTGCAAACCGGGAAAATCAGGCCTTAAAGAAAGGAGGTATCGAACAATTATTGTTAGTGAAAACAACTATAGGACTGCTTCAATTACATAGAAAATTGGTAGGTCGCCATACTTCAACTGAAACTGTTTTCATTCTGGAGCGACGAGAAGGTGAGAATTGGCCTCTATGGAACTGTGAAGTGCTACTTCTTCATTTTTGATTTTATTTTACAAGATCCATCATCACATTTACTGTGCTGATCCAGGCACTTCTAGCGTTAGATTCGTTTTCTTCACACTTCCACAATGGTCTTCGAACATTCAATGTATTATTTCAGCTACTGCTTAAGGATTTCGTTTTCTTTATGAATATCATAGAGTGGTGGTCGTGTCAATTCTAGTTGCAATCTTGGCGATAGCAGGGCGAACGCGTTCCCACGCCGATTGGAGAAGGGTTGGAACGAGGATCAAACTAGCACCCTCGCTTCCTGGTCGACGGCATCACTAACCACCCCATGGATCTGTGAAGTTCTACTGGGATTAGAAAACTCTCGCTTTGCTTAGGATGTACGGCAAAATACAGGAATCTGTCAAGGCACCACACCGATGTATAACATAAGCAGAATTTGCGTGTGAGTGTCACCAGTGGATAATGTCGATTGTAGACGAGTTGACCTTTTCGCTGGTGAAAGGATTTATAGTGCTATCTTACACATAACAAACACCGCTGCGAAAAATTGACGGAAGTGTTTTTGCTTCGTAAGGACTGATTCATGATCAGTAAAAGGACGTGAGACATTCTCGCAAAACTGAATAACAACTCAAAAGTTGTTGCAACAGCTGTGAACTTTGAAAATTCTACCCGAAAACTTGCAACGCCTCGAGCTGATCATTCCTTTAAGGATGCGTCATGCATTTGATTCGATTCGTAGCAACGCAGAGTGATACTGCCTTTAAAATTACTTGCGGTTGCCTGCTGATGTATCAAATCATTGATATTTGCAGGAAACCTCTAAGCAATTTTTCCTCCAAAAAACTCGTAAAAGTCGAAATCTGACCAACAGTGGAGGCTAATTTCTTGTTCGTTTGACTTAATTACCTCTACATTTACTTTATTCACCCTGAGACGTGCTTTTGTTGAAAGCCACTCAAGCTTGTTTTTTCCTCACAGACCAAAGAATGTTACCGTACTTTCAGTGTATTGTTGCACTCACTGTTAGCTTTTCAAAAGAAATTTAATATAATTATTCGGGCTCGATCAATATTTAGACTAAACTAACAGCCTGCACTAGAACAGAATTGTTGGCAAACTGTCCTATACGTACAGTGCTTGGTTTCCAATAACTACTGGAAATTTCTCCACATATATCTCAAGAAAGCAGTTAAAAATCTAAGTGAAAATTTCCCACAGTGTCCCTTTAGTTTAAAATTTGTCTAAGATTCAATTCTTTAGCAAAGTTCAGAAGAAATGCCAGTTTTGAAACCGTTGGACAGAATTATGGCAGCAGCAAAGACCAACAACGTATTCGGGGACAGCATGACGTTCTGACGGACGAAATCTCGTTTATTTAATAGCTTCCTGATTCAAAACGATGAGGAAAAAACGGAGAGAAGAAAAGGTTTTTGGGCTCAAGAAAAATCAGAAACTCATCAGTGGTAGAGTAAGGAGCAAAAATCTTGTTGTTAAAGACCTATAGAATCGACTCCTGTATCACAACTAGTCGGCTTCATTACGAGCCCAGATATATTTGCCTAAAGTCAAGCTTGAAATGATAACCAAATTTAGCCAAGTGCGCATTGAAATCACTGCATAGAGTACGAATCTGTGACAATACATTTTGAAACATTAAGATCACCTTTGATGTTAAGATGACATAGAAGATAATGAATCAAATGACGTTGATTGTGGTCTAGGTAATTACGTTGCTGTTTTTTTTTTTGTCAACCGAAAGTAGAAACTGCGTATGTCGAACAAAATGCTAAGCAGTGGGCGGCTTAGCGTTCATCGGACGAGCAGGTTATCAATCCACCAATCCTTAAAGCGTGAACGGACCGAGTTCGCATGGAAGCGAGAACTTTATCAGAAACAGTTCACACGCCAGAGACGCGTAGTCGCTTCATTGCATATCAGCCGAGTTAAAAGTTGTTCATTAGAAGTCCCCGTTTAGGGTATTTCTTTTATTTCATTGAAAATAAGATCGGTTTGTGACTTGAACACATCGAATTCACTTGTTCTGAACTAATATTGAAAATTCAGTTGTTTACCTGACAATCTGACTATCTCTTTATTCTGTGTGATTGCAAATTTATGAAAATCTCTAAGCGGCTTAGTTGAACTGTCGATTCAATGTCATTCACATAGCTACTGTCAACAATACTGCTACGACCACAAGAATGCTGAGAAACGATGAGCAAAACTTAGTGCCCTTTAAAGGAACCTTTGTTTATGTCTTAGCATTCTTGTGAATGCATTTCACACTCTACCGTACCATGAGAAAAGAATAGACAGTAAATGAAAGTTAAAGCAATGGTAGCACGCACTGCTTGATTCGTACTTAACCAAGGGAATCAGTGAACATGAAGTCGAGGAATATAAAAGTGACAATCAAGTTCGAAGGAAAATCGCAATAGAAACAGTTACGTGCTCTCTCATAATTCTATGCGCACTTTTACATTTACGATGGAGATTGAAATTAAATATGACACTCACGGTCATCGGCCGCGGTTCTTACCTCTTGGCAATATTCTGGCTAAGGCGTGACCTCGATTCGGATTAAAACTAAAAAATTTCGCTAATATCACTTATACAATAAAGTATGCATTGTAGAAAGTTAGATATGAATTCGATTTCAGTAATTCAATAGTAGGTCGAAGTGGTTCCCACACTTTGATGGGCGGTGACTCAGATTCAGACGACCGGCGGCAATCATTTCATGATGGGCTGGAGGACAACCACCACATGTGGTCGTCTAGTTGGGGTCGAGTTCCTTTTGACAATCTCTCAATGCTGGCCAGTTTGTCCATACAACAATGAGCCAACCAACCAACAAAGGAAATAACGGAAATTAAAACCGAGATATGTGCGACTGCATGAAAGAACTTGAAGAACTATGGATGAAAAAAAATTCCTGCCATTCCCGCTATTGTATCTGGATAAATACGACTAGCAGACGCTTTTTTTATATTTTACAGGAAATACTGCTGATAATGAATGATTAAGGAAGTGAATGATTCTGATTTCCAAAGTGGTAAAATCAATTTTCAGTCGAATCCAAACATAGTTCTTTTCCCTTCAAAATCGCTATGAACATTGAAGACCACGAGTAACTAAGGGGCTGGATCGATGAAAATAAAAATATGGAAATTATATTATACGAAAAATGACAGAATTAAAGAGAAAAAGCAAAACGAAATAAAAGAGGAGATATTCATTTAGTGATATGATAGTCTCTCCCAACGGCTTACCGCCTCATCGTGGCTGAGAGGTGTTCCTCTGTGTCGTACTGCGATGTACAGAGGGGGATTCGTCCCTCGGCAGGGTTTCCCAGGTTGAGAAGGAGTCCGGCGTTTCCATCAGGAAGCCTAGCTAAGACTAAACCAATACCAGGATCCACCACCGTACTGGTATCAAAGTCGCGTGTTGGCAAATCTCCCTCTGATCCACAAAGGCTGCAGCTATCTGTCGTGAAGACCTGGAGCAGACTTTGGCCAGACTGTCCTCGAGATTCAAGGAAACCACAGCGGCTTAACCAACAAATCGCCGAAAAATGGTGAATATGCTGGGGCCCGCAGAACTAGTGGTGACGGGCCGTTCAAGTATCAAGTATGAAGATATGATAGTCTTATGACAACTGAGACTGTGTTCCGAAGACATAGGACGGGATTAATTTCGTGTAGATCGTTGTATTCTTGCTAGCGATGAACCAGCGAATGAAACTACCGCGACTTAACTACTTGCACGTTATCAAACAAGGTAACGGAGCGCTTATTAGTTTACTCATTGTTGAGGCTTAACGATAGCTATAAGTGGGATCTAAAGCAACCTGGTGTTACTGGTTCAACTTTGAAGGGTTTCTTTTCACTTCCCATTTATTACAGCATTATAAAGTGCCTTGATTCTTCCATTGAAAAAAGGAACAAGGAATTTTCTTTAATGTAAATTGAATTATGCATAAGGCACATAAGAAAGCCATAAGCCATGACCGAAAGCAGTAATTGTGGCTCAGGAATGGCGTAATGCTGAGACATTAGTTGAGAAAAAGAACTTCTTCTACACTCTTTAATTGTAAGGCTGTAGAGAGAAAATGAAGTCGTAAATGAATCGTCATGGATGAATGACCGACGACAATGAGCTTAAATCAAACAACGAATTGTATACGGAAGAAAAAGTGGAAAACGATCAACATAGAGCTCTTAGGCTGTAGGTAAAAGGTGGAAAGAAATGGAAACAGATCTTTGAAATCATTCGAACATGGATTCAGAGCTATAAAAACACAGACATATGATATCAGTGACGCTTCCGAGTCAGTAAAATCAGGCGTATTTCAGCAGAATATCGGGAAATCATAGGAGCCGTGATTTGAGAGAGCGAGATGAACGAAAAAGAAATCGAAAAGATCACCTTTTACCCATGAGTCAACGGAATAACCTGATGAAACGGAAGCGTGTTTTGGCGAAGATTTGAGAAAGTCAATAAGGGGTGGTGTTCTAGAGTACACGTGCATAATGCTGAAATGAAATCCGTCCATATAGGGATATTAATAGAGTGCGAACAGCGACGAAGATTTGAGCTGGCCGTTTTTCACTCCACAAATCAAAGATAATAAGGAAATCAACCCTCGTAGAGTAAAGGCGAGAAAATTAGTTACGAAACCAATGATGGAGAAATTTTCGGCAGACGATGCACAAGAGTGTGGGCACGATTAGTGCAGACCGGGGACGGAGGTGGGACGATCAGTGTGGCCGGCGCGGTTCAATGGAGACTGGGTGGGAGGCAAAAGTGCAAAACGAACGGCGGTCGCCAACCGATCAAGTGCAGAGCCGACGGCTGCAACAGCACAAGCGGCAGCAACAACGCCAACAACAGAATCGACCACGACCGAGAAAAAAATCGCTCGTTTCGAATTGTGCTTATTAGTTTGTCGATTTTTAGTCTGGATAAAGCCACAAATACAGCGATTATGCAGTAGGGTCATAACGCCACCTGAATCATGACGGTCAAACACGAGCACAGAACTAAGTGATGACGTGATGCGGTTTACACAGTGTGAGTTGCACTCTCAAAACAATGCAGTGGGTGTTTGGTTGTTTGGATAATAACGTATGACATCCGAGAGAAATTATGCGAAGATCTACCGTAAACGAAGTGTCCTCAATCGACTTTTATTCGAAAAGTAACGAAAACTGCTGTTTAGACATAGAGATAGAATCTACATCAATCTATACCTTCTCCTCGGTCTTAACATAGTGTTACGAAGGAAATGTTACTACATAATAGTATAAAAATTAGGTAGATGGAAGAAAACTTAGTAGTACTGCGGTCTCAGGAGTTATTCACCATAAAGAAATCCATGTAAACAACAATTTAGTGGAGTGGTGAAGAGAAACTTTCGACAGGTCGAAGAATCTCATTAGGAATAACGCAGAGCTAATCGCTTTTATCTTCAAATTCACTGAAATGGCTACATACCATTTAGCCCGCATAGAAGCTAGCGGACCCAGCCAACAAACTGGATGTTATCTTCACTAGACGACTTTGTTAACATCTCATCTACTTTGCAGAAATCATGGAACACTTGCTTGAAATAGTTCCCAGGATCGACTTTCTATTAACCTCGGCATTGGAATATGAATGCGTCGTTTTCTTGTTCAGCAATCGCTGGGTCGTTAAACAGCATACACGTACTTCCATAGAAAAACACAATACAATACAACACTGGCTGACGTTTCGGCAGTATCGCCTTCTTCAGAGCCTGGAAGGGCATGCTGATATACAATCTACTAGGCCAAACGCTTCAATAACACTTACAAAAAAACGAAAAACTCTTTGGTAATTACATGATCAACAGCTTCTCGAAAAAACCACCGCTTTTTCGTTTTTGCTTTTTCGAAACATCAAATAGAGATAAAAATCAAGAGGCGGCAGCACTACCACCATCTCTAAAACGTTTTTTAGACAGCAGGACCCTAACGATGGAGTTGACATGAATTTCGCGTGTTTTCGGACGGCGTTCTCAAGACCCTTGATCACTACCGCGATAGAAAGTTTATCTCTAACCTTAGAGCCGCACAAAAATGTGGTATGCGGGAAATTAGAGAATTAATAAACTTGAAAACAATAAGATTGTCTGTTAGTGATAAGGGGGGAGAGTTCGTAGTTATCCCTCGCCAGCTGGATGTTGAGATAACAGAGGAACATCTTAGTGATGCTACTCTCTATCGCCCATCCTCTGAAAAGGGATATAAAAGTCAATACCGAAAGCTAAACAATCAATGGGTCAGCGTGGCAAAGGCTGCAGGTTTAAAATCATCGGTTTTTTCGCACTTTAAAATCGATAGACCAACATGTCCCGTCCTATACCTACTTATTAAAACACATAAGTTGGTATCACCTGATGATCATGCGTCAACCAATCCGTCATCATTTAAGGTTAGACCGATCATCAGCTGTGTGGACGGGCCAACGGATAGAATGACCTGGTTTTAAGCCTGATACTTACCCAGTGCTTAACCACATTCCAGGTCACCTCACAAACACCCTAATGTTCCTAGAACGTCTATGTAACGCGTCTCCTAATAACGCGTACGTGATGGAGCCCTTCGACGTTACCGCACTGTACACCAACGTGTTGAATGACCCCGCAATGCAAGCCATCTTCGAACTTCTTGTTGAACATGAAGGAAGAACAAATATGCATGGCTTGTCCATCCAGCAGCTAATGGCTCTCTTAAAAGAGTGCCTAAACTGCTCGATTTCCAGATGGTCTGGAAATATTTCGCACAAATAAGGGGGTTGGCAATGGGACAGCGATTGGCACCAAGCCTTGCCATTGTGTTTATGTCTAAGATAGAAGCCCCTCTTCTCGATCTCCGGCCACTACTCTACTGCAGATATGTAGATGATTGTTTTGTCGTCTTCTCTACGCAGGAAGAGATGGACAAATGCTTTGAATTATTTAACGAGCAGTCCGAGTACATAAAGTTCACCCGGGAGAAACCGAGAAAAAACTAGCTTCCGTTTTTGGACGTTCAAATAAACCTATCGAGGAGCGGTTACCTGATAAAGTGGTATCGAAAGCCAAGTAACACGAACATTCTTGTTCATTTCCTTTCTTCCCACCCTTCACACACAAAGAGGGCGATTGGGAAAAACATGTTTCGAACAGCCACCTCTGTGTGCACTACCAGGCAACTAAAGGAAGAATCGCGCGACTTGGCTCGGCAAATGGTCATCTCCAATGGCTACGAAATAGTAACCCCACGAGATAAGTTTAGAAGCAGAGCGACGCGCCCACGCGAAACACTTGGTCAAAAGAAAGTCCCGTTTATGTTGCCTTTTATAAGCGATGAAGTAAGCGTAGCTATAAAACGATGCTTAAGAAGGGCAGTTCTAGAGGAATCGGTAGCGATAGTTGAAATACCACCGGCTAGTCTACGTCGCCAATTAGTTCGCAACCGCCTGTATGACCGTCTGTGTGAAACAACAAATTGCGTAATTTGCCCTTACGGCAGGGACGGTGATTGCATGAGTTCAGGTACGATATACCTGATCTCGTGTAACAATTGCGGAGATGAATATATTGGCGAAACGGGCAGACCTTTTAGCATCCGTATAGAAGAACACCTAGATGGCAAACGAAAACTAAGACGAAGCACCCCACTAGGCACGCATAGGATACAAAAGCATAGCGGAGACGATTTTGAAGTAAAAGTCAATATCCTTGCACAGGAGTCCAAAACACCAGCGCGAAAACTCCTTGAGGCTTTTTGGATAAATGCCAAAAACCTTACAATGAATAGTAGGGACGAATGCCCGGAGGTCATACGCGACCTGATCCCATACTTCCGCATCGATTTTTGATGTGGGATGGTGCAGTCGTCGACCACATGCGACTATAATCAGCTGTTCTAAACTTCCTCATTGGAAGTCACGAAAAAAGCGGCTCTGAAGAAGGCGATACTGCCGAAACGTCAGCTAGCGTTGTATTGTATTGTGTTTTTCTATGGAAGTAAATGTATGCTGTTTAAAAACCTCGCGATTACTGAACAAAAAAACGACACACTTGCTTGAGTTGGAGGGATCGATCCAGGGAACGTATTAGCAATTGTAGCGCGCCAATATGAACCACACTCCAAGATCACTGACGATGTGAACGAAATCGCAAACAAGTGCTGTAGAAGAAAACAACAAATAAATGAGTTTAATGTTTACATGAATAACAATCGAATTGGTTCCAAAGCAGTCTATTCTGTTCTACTAGGATGGTAGAGAGTTCCTACTCTGCCGAATTCTTCACAATCTGTTTCTCAGTGTTACGATAGTGTTCACGTCGTCACAATAAAAATCTCTCACAGTCGCCAGATTTTATTTGTCATACAGCAATACTCATGAAGAGAAGGAAGCGAAGGCATTGGAAGAACGAGAACAAAGCAGAGCGTTAACGGCATAATTCTACATTGATATAGTTCCTGGTTTCCTTCAATAACATCTGTCGAAGATTTTGTAGGAAGCGCCACATTTCTTTCACTATTAGCACGTCTTTTAATTTAGCAGTTTTTCCACCAGTTCTGCTAGTGTTACATTGACATATAAATATCGTGTTCTCTAGGGAATCTCTTGCAAACTGCGGATCTCGAGAGCTTTGCGACTTTTCAGTGGTGGCAATTCTGCGGTAGATATGCCCGTGAAGGACAAACCACTAACTTACACATTAGCTGGACCCGAAAGTCCGGCCGTCTACACATTCCACGCCTCAGTGAATTTATAAGTGGAACGGAGACCACACGTACATCACATACCTCTAAAAGATTTGTTATTGTCGTCATCGATTTCCTCCTTTGTTTTTTCTCGATTTTTTTTTCAACGAATGAAACAATGTCTTGAAGAATAGGAGGAGTATGCGAGAACAAACGTTGGTAATATCGGAAATGATAATTGGGACACCAAATGTAGGATGTGAGGGGATAAATTTCGACCAGAAAATACTAATGAAAACAACACCAAAAATATGAGAAAGACAATGGCGATGCAACAACTGACCGCGATTTCCATAAAAGAAGGTGAGGCACGGGAAACGAAATGTTCCATGCATATTTTATAGAAGTCCCGATCACCTGTGGAACGCAGAACAACTTCTTCGAAAGTCGAAGACCTTCTTTTAGGAAAAATCTCGTATTAATTGCGCATTCCTGCTTTTTCTCGTCAGAACATTTCTAGAATAGTGGGGCAAAAAATAGCTATATGTTCTATGGAAGCGGTAGTATAATATTGAAGTCGATAACACTGCCACTAGGGTTAGAAAATGTTGAAGCTTCGTCGACATAAACAAAAAAGCCATATATATATATGATCAATGCCTGAGGGATGCACCATGCATTCGACTTCAATAAGTATCGTTTATAGGTGATTAAATACATATCTGGCCTTTACAATGACTCGCGATGGCCTACCGATGTATCGAGCAAGTGTTGCCATCCTCCAAGATAAGTTTGGTGCCAAGTTGCCGATCCCGGAGGGATGGAAGGCTTGGTAGGCCATGGGCGCGAGGATCGATTCCACGTGTGTGTTGCTGGGCACCTCCGACCACTGCGCCATAAATAAATAAATAAATATATATATATATATATAAATGTGCACGAGGCACGTGTAGCGCAGCGGTTAGAGGTGCTCTGAAATAAACATGGGGTTCGGTCCTGTGCCCCCCGTTCACCAAGCCTTCTATTCCTACGGGGTCGGTAAATTGGTACCAGACTTCTTTGAGAGGATAGCAGCAATGAATCAATATTATTGGTGGGCCAGCACGAGTTATATATGCCAGATATGTACTCAATCACCTCTAGCGATGCTTGATAAAGTCGAATTAATGGTGCATCTCTAAGGGATTGATCTACGTCGAAAGCTTGATTCTTTTTAAGTATACATGTATATATGTGCCGGTATATATGGCGCATGTACGATATATGTTAGTGTGTGTGT